GCAAATTACGGAGCAGGCAATAAGTCCAGCAGCTATCTCAATCAATCGTCAGTTATGGAAAGATCGGGTTCCAAAGGCCGGATCCCTTGTGAATCAAGTCACGAAAAGTTCAAGAATCGGCAACAGGCCATGGGCCTATGTCTTCAACGCCGACACTTCTATTCTATTCTATTCTATTCTAATTCACCATACTGCAGAGAAGCGCCGGCTGTAATATCACTGAGGCTTCTTCTATTGAGCGCTCATATCTACGCGCTATTAGTAGCTCGAACTAGCGCTAATAGTAGCTTGAATTACGCACTAATAGTAGCTCGAATTCAGCTCCGAAAGTAGCTTGAAATAAGCGCTTCGGCTGGCTGAGTGGCGTTTTACGCGCCTGTGCCAACTCATTTTGAGACAAGCCGGGATAGACACTTTAGTGCGTAGTTTAAACGCAGTGATTTGTTTCAGTGTATGTGTAAAATTTGATCAAAATTTGTGATGTTAAGTGCAGCTGATTTTCGAAATTAGTACGCTTGACATGGAATGACAATTGAGTCTTTTCTTAAAGACCAATCTTTTCTGAGGATGTTATCTATTAGCTTTAAATTTCGTCAATGACACAGTAGAACTGATTTATTGTGAATCTGCTCGCTAGTTTCCTTAACGTCAAGGCGAACTGACCTCCAGAGAGCAATGCAATATGATCCTCTAATTAGTTGATGGACTCATGTGCTCATCTTCAGGGGGAAATGAATCCGCATCTCTGATTCTCCGTAGGTACCCTCGCACTTACTTTCAGTGGGGCAGGCTCTCTGCTCTACGCATACTATAATGCCGAAATAGTGCACACCTCTGGTGAGGCACTTAATTTGAACCTCGCATTCTTCGATAACTAACTCATACTCACTTTCAGTGAGGCAGGCAACCTGCACCTCGCATGCTCTGATGGCGAGCTCGCTATAGACGTGCTCCTTGTGCTAGACGTGCTCCTAGAGCTAGACGTACTGCTAGTGCTAGACGTGCCCCTAGTGCTATAGACGTGCTCCTCGCGCTAGACGTACTGCTGGTAATAGACGTGCTCCTAGTGCTAGGTGTGCTCCTGGAGCTAGATTTGTTCCTAGTGCTGGACGTGCTCCTAATGCTAGACGGACTGCCAGTGTTAGACATGCTCCTCCAGTGATGCAGGCAGCCTGCACCTCACATTCTCTGATAGCGCGTTCGTCAACATCTTCAGTGGGAAAGGGAACCTGCACCTCACATTCTCTGAAGGTGCGCTCGTACTCACCTAAAGTGGGACAGGCAGCCTGCACCTCAGTGTGCCGGATGTCGAGGTTGTAGACAGGGTCCGCGGAGCCGTTCGTTGTGTCGACAAGGACCCGCACAGCGTACCTCCCGCAGGGGACAGCGTTGAAGGCAAGCCCTGCGAGATTATAAGTGACGGCGGGGCGGCGTTTATTTTATAACGATCATAAAAGGCTTTAACCGTGGGGGCATAATTGTGTTGTCATACCTAGCTTATTTTCGTCTTCATTTAATGGCACACCTGGTAACTGACGAGGCAAAAAAGAACATTTGCAATGATGAATAAGAGATGTGTTAACAGGTCCATGCAAATTTTCCCTTGCCTTGGAAAATAACTGTGAATTATGTATAGATGAATTATATTAGTATTCTTCTAATAATTGACAATTATATGTCACAAAATTCTTAGTCGTAGAAAGTTACACAGATTTAAAATTTAGTGTCTTGAGTCATAAAGCACATGTATACCTTGTAGAGATTTTTATGAAGGTCTTATCATCTAAGCATGACTGCTTAAACTTTTCTCCAGTCATATATACGAAAATCATTTGCTTATCACAAGGCCGATCTTAATATTTATTATGAATTTTTGAAGATTTTTTCAAACTGAATCTTTTGCGGTTCACCAGTTTATGAAGAAAATTTTACATGATAATCGCTGTTCAATTAGCCGCCACGAGGCACATCGCCACGCAGGACTCACCTGCACCGAAATGAGACTTGCTACCGACCGTCTGCCACGCGGTGGTCGAGTAACTCAAGTCCTGCACCTGCAGCAGATACCTGGTGGCAGGTACATGGGGTCAAAGATCGTTGTTACTTGAAACATGGCAGGAACTTTACTTCGTAGCTAATTTATGGCTGCTAACGTAGTAAGCGTTATATTAGGCACTAGATGCACTAGATCGATAAAATAAGTTTCTGTAAACAAATTGTTGATGCAATTTCAGCATTCGTTATGTTTAAACTGCGAACATCAGCCTGCACCTCACATTCTCTGATGGCACGCTCGTACTCACCTACAGTGGGGCAGGGAGCCTGCACCTCAGTCTGCCGGATGCCGAGGTTGTAGTCAGGGTCCGCTGAGCCGTTCGTTGTGTCGACAAGGACCCGAACAGCGTACCTCCCGCAGGGGACAGCGTTGAAGGCAAGCCCTGCGAGATTATAACGACCATAGAAAAGCTTTAACCGTGGGGGCAAAATTGTGTTGTCATACCAGGCTTCTTTTCGTCTTCATTTACAGGCACACTTGGTAACTGACGAGGCAAAAAAGAACATTTGCAATGATGAATGAGAGATGCGTTAACAGGTCTATGCAAATTTTCCCTTGCCTCGGAACAAAGCTATCAATTATGTATAGATGAATTATATTAGTTGTCTTCTAATAATTGACAACTATATGTCATAAAATTTTTAGTCGTAGAAAGTTTCACAGATTCAAAATTTCACTGACATGAGTCATAAAGCACAGGTATATATTGTAGAGATTTTTATGAAGGTCTCATCATCTAAGCAGACTGCTCAATCTTTTCTCCAGTCCTCGTCAACTATCCTCGCAGAACCAATTATTGCACACGAAAAAAAATCACACGAAGATCATAAGCTTATCATGAAGCCGATCCTAATATTTATTATGAAATTGTGAAGATTTTTTCCCACTGAATCTTTTGCGGAACACCAGTTTATGAAGAAATTTTTACATAATAGTTGCCGCTCGATTAGCTGCCACGAGGCACATCGCCACGCAGGACTCACCTCCACCGAAGTGAGACTTGTTACCGACCGTCTGCCACGCGGCGGTCGAGTTACTCAAGTCCTGCACCTGCAGCAGATACCTGATGGCAGGTACATGGGGTCAAAGATGGTTCTTACTTGAAACATGGCAGGAAATTTACTTCGTAGCTAATTTATGGCTCCTAACGTAGTAGGTGTGATATTAAGTAGGTAAATAATATGTTCAATATGTTTAACATTATGTTTAAACAGCGAAAAAAATCATTGAAATGAAAATTTTCGTTCCTCATAGCTGAACATTCGTTGTGACGACTCTAAGTAACTAACGCTCTTTTCATAAGAGATCTATTACGCTTGTAGAGCGAACTCGAAGATGAGAAACAACTGCACCAGGCTATGCAAGGCTTCCTGCGAACCGTTCTAGCGATGTAGAATGTAGAATTTTAAATGCTTGTTTGGAGTGTAGTCATATCTATGAGATCTGAGCCCTACCCTGTTACGTAAGTGTCCGGGTCCAAGACGCCCTCGTCCGCGCTGGGGGACCAGGCCCTTGGCGTCACGGTGCACCAAGTGCTGTTGCAGGACACGGTGGGAGGTGCCCGGAAGCGCGGCAAGTTGCGAGGACGAGGATATGCCTCTAGGGGACGAATATGCCGACAAGTGCACATTAAACTCAGCGAATGATTAGCAATTTAAAATATGCTGTTAGTTCTCATAAATAATATAAACATTATACAGTGAAAAACCCGCACGTTGCATTGACCTTTTGAGGGTATATACTTGCATGTATAGAGCTCATCCTGGGCACATGTCATCGTTATTATCTGATACAGCGCGAGGACGAGGCGCTGCATCGTCACAGCAGGCGGA